CGCACCCGTACCTGGACACTATCGGTGTCAGGTTCAGGCGCAGAGCCAGATCTGTCGAGGAGAAACCTCCTGATGAGTCGGTGTAATTCCGACGAAACAGTCTGGCCCAGTCTCACCCGTTCGTCCGAAACGAACGGGTGCCTTGGCAACAAATCTAAAAAGAAAGAAAACAAAAAAAAATCTAAAAAGAAATCTATGACAAAATCTAAAGAAAGTAAAATTAAAAAAGAAGAGAAAAAAAAGAAAAAACTTACCTTTACTAAAAACGGCTGCCCGTTTTCAACGGGCGCCCGTTTCTCGTTCTGGGATACTAAGTCCCTTCTCTTCTGGTAACGCCATCTGGCGTTGTCATTAGTTTTTTTTTTTTTATATTTTCCGTTGGCTTATGCCAACGGTCGTGCTGTGTTCGTGGGTTCACCCACGAACTGTTGCAATGCAGACCCGAGTTCGAATCCATATGGACTCGAAAAAAAATTTGGACTATTTTCTCAATTTATGCGTGTCATCCTTTCGCAGGGGCCATGCTAATCTTCACGCGCCTGATCTGGGCCGCGCGATCTCTTCGATCGGACGTCCAGATCAGATCGCGCCGGCATGAAAATAACCACGGCCAGCTCCAAAAGGAGCTAGCCCAGTGGTATATATCGTTTCTCAGATTCGATCCCGGTATCTGCCGGGTGATAGTTGAGTGCGTTATCCTACTGGGCTAGCTCCTGTTTCACACTAAACAAGAGTTGCTCTTCAATATGAAGAGCTTAGCCCAGGTAACATCCCTGCCTGCGGCTTTGCAGGCTCCGCTCGTGTGTGACCTAGCAGTCCTACCCCGGTTGTGGCCTGCCGGCTTACCTGCCCGCGGCCTATCCATACCGGTTAGTCGTGTGGTCGTGGCTGGGTCGGCCATCGAACCGGGTAAGTCTTGGTATTGGCCTATTGGTCCCAAGGCTCGACGTCAAAACCCGTGGCCTGCGTCGCGGCCCTATACCCCGCGCAACCCTCTTTTTAGCCCACTTAAGCCCTCAGCCGCGCGACACCATTATAGATAGAATAGGTTTAATTTTAGCATTTCCATGACTGCAAACCCGCGGATGATANCCGCGCGACACCATTATAGATAGAATAGGTTTAATTTTAGCATTTCCATGACTGCAAACCCGCGGATGATAGTGCTGACTCCCGCTATCCCGCGCCGACGTCGATGTCATCTTTCGTTGACGACGTCAGGTTCTAAAAAGGTTTAGGTTTTTCAGTCATAGCGCTGGTTTGAATAAACATTTGCCAATGTCAGTCTCATCAAGTCTTTCAATTCAACGCAAGGGTCGGACAACGTCCGACATTCAAAAAACACCGGCATATACCCTTGTCAAAGTTTTTGCCCCGACAGCAATCCCAAACCCCGTTGAACGACTTCCCCGTCGTTCACCCGATATTAGTCAATAATATAGGGCTCTCTGAATTCTTATGGAACTCTTTTCAACAAAATTTCTTTCAATCGAAAATAAGTCGAAGCTAACTAAAATCCGAGTTATTGCCTCGGTAATCTAAAATTCAATCATCCTTGATTGGAATGGTACTAGATGTAGCCTCTGGCAAGCCTTTTATCAAAACCTGAATTTTTTTTTTTTTACCGGTTCAAGTTCTGGAATCACTAAAATTTTCAAGGAATTTTGTCTAAATGGTTCCAGCATCATCCCACTGGCGGCAACTCTAAATATTATTTTAGTCTCTCAGAATGGTACCGGAAATAGCCTTTGGCTAGCCTTCTAAACCTCAGTCGGTTAATTTATCTAAAAAAAGAATCAGGTTTAACCCCCTGACGGGTATCTCAAAATAAATAACCTCCTGAGCGGCCCATACAAAATCTGAACCAACCATTCATGAGAAAAACCATTTATCAAAAGTCCTTGTCTAGGTTTTGTATGCCATTTCAATTACGAGTTATCACATACGACATTTTTCCTGCATGTTTTGTGATATACGTCGAGGAGTGGTGTAATCCTCAAGGAATAACATCTCGACGTCAAGCCCCGCTTTAGACTCGAGCTTCACCACCTTTCCGCCGATTCCAGTATCATGTGCTTGTCAGTCCCCTACCTGCAAGGTTGAACTACCCTTTCTCTATGACCTAGGCTGGTCAGACCCGGCCATAGAGGCGAGGCGACCCCATTCGTCACAAGGTCAAGGTGACCACTCCTTCCCCCATGATGAGCGGCAGTTGTCACCCTTACAAGCAAGATTCAAACAATCACAACAATACCTTCCTCCCTTTCAATCATAGTGTAGCCACCCTCCTTAAAAAAGAAAAAGTGACAGCATCCTACTATGGACCACGAACAAGTTCCGGCGTAGGCTCCACTACCACCTACAGAGCTCACTGCATCAGGACTCATCATAACATGATAACTAAAAAAACATTACGAAAGTTCTATGCTATGATAAATAAATGCAGTACATGCCTTAGCGAATAACACACGGAGTTATCCTTCAAGCCATATAATGCAAATTACATATCATCTTCCTAGAACTTTTTATAACAAGAATATACACCGAATAACAGTATACATTTCCACAGAGAGTTTCATACATTCCAGTCAAAAAAAAATATATATTCATAAATTTGCATTGCATCACATTTCATTGAAAAAAGTAACACGTATAACAGATTTCTGATCCAAAAAACACAACACAATTCCACGATCATGGAGTCGCAGAATTTATTAATTATACAAAACATGGAACCATAGGTCCCAAAATTAAATCCAAAACCCAAGAGTCCAAAGTTACAATTTCCTTGCCTGTCCTCAGAACCAGTCAACAATTTGTGATCCCATGTAAGAAAGAGAGCGGACAAAGAAAAGCAAGTCCCTTTTATCCACAATCTATTTTAACTACAACTCTTTTATTAAGTCCTTGGAATAAACTTTCTCAAATGCGACCCTGACGCCCAATTTCTACCTCGAGCCCCATCCAACTCTTCGATCTCATAAGTCCCATGCTCAGGTTTTTTGATAATACGATAGGGCCCTAACCATCGACTATCCAATTTCCGAGACCATTGTTTTTCCAAGGACGAATCATAAAGAAGTACGATATCCCCTACTACCAACGGTTCCTTACGAACACGAGGCCTTTTATCCCATCTTTCCTTGTCGGTCTGTCTACTCTCTGCAGTAGAGGCAGCGGCCTCCTCAATCCTTTCCTCAGTGATCATCATTTGTCTTGCCCTCAATTCCAACAACTCCTCCGTTGAAAGTTTTGTTTCCACATCCTGCTTTCTCCAAGTGGTCAGAAAACTTTCGATCGGAAAAGTTGCATGCCGCCCAAACCACAATGTGACCGGAGCGTATCCAGTTGTCCGCTTTATGGTGACATTCTCAACAAAAAATGTCATTCTCAGATATATCGGTCATCTTGAAGGATCGTCTCCGCACCATTTAGCCAACAAATTTGTTAGAGTGGCATGTCCACGTTCAACTGGCGCATTGGCCTGGGGATGTGCCCTTGTAGTATAGCTAAAACTTACTCCAAGTTTCTTCAGAAGCGTCTGCACTTCCCCAGCTCGAAACTCACCACCTCGATCTATGACAATTTCCCGGACAAATAGGTACCGAAGATAATATTCCTCAATGCATTCTGCTAAAACATGCCCAGTACGCTCGCGAATGGCACAACCATCAACGAACCCAGTCAGATTATCTCTTGCGTTGAAGATATATCTGTACCTATTTATTCCAGGTGGCATGACTAACAGATCAAGGTGTACTACTCCTCCTGGCTCAGCGACATAGCGTGGATTAAGAGGTTCAACAAAATGCAGATTAGATCGTCTTTAACAAGGAAGACAAGAGTTACAGAAATCATTTACCATCTTGTTCATTCCTTCCCAAAAATAAAGATGTTGAATCTTTTTCAAAGTGACTCGTGCCGATCTATGTCTGCTTGCGACCCCATCATGCAAAGCCGCAATCACATCAAGTTGTCGCGTAACCCCACATACCACTCTTCTCGGAATGTCATCGTTGGATTTCTTGAAAAGATGACCATATCTTACAACAAAATCCTTACTTTTCTGACGAACATCTGGATCCACCTCATCCTCTCTCAACTCACCATTCAACTACATTCCCATTAATTTATACTCCCCATCATACTCTCCTTCTCTGAAAGTCTCTCTGATTTCATTGCCTTCTGCTTCTTCATTCATCATTTTCAGGCGGTCCTCGTGAATTGGAGAGTTCAGAAGGAATGACATCTCTCCAGTGATCCTGAAAGTCTTATCAGCCTGCTCATGCTCATACTCAATCGTCAGCGGCTCTTTGATGAGCTCGACTTCATCAGACAAAGCCAAATTCATCATTTGCTCAGATGTTCTTTCACCCCATGGGTCTTCCTCAATGAACGGCTCCCCAATCACGAGCTCTGATCGCACATGATGGAAACAGGGAGCATTCCAGATGGTTTTCCCATTCCGGGTTGCTGCATCCGTCAAGTAATTGTATGAGTTAATACTCAACTGTGACTCTTCTCCTTCGAGGAATCCATCGACAGGAACTGAATCCTCAGCCTGATCCGTTGATGAGTCCCAATCAACACGACTCAATCCATCTGCTCGATTCTGAGCGCCTGAAATGCGTTCAATCTCAAAATTGAACATCCAAATATACGTCAGTCATCGAGCAATGGTTGGATCAGAAAGAGAATAGTTTTTCAATGATTGAGCTAGAGCTGTAGGATCAATTCGCAAAATGAACCGCCTGCCAAATACATAATTCATGAAAATACGCAGACAGTGAAGCACAGCGAGAGTTTTCTTCTTGAACTGGGAGTAGTTTCGCTCAGTAATATTCAGAGTTCTGCTCTCGAACCTCAATGGTCGTTCCCGTCCTTCCCCATCCTTTTGGATCAAAACTCCTCCCAAAGTGGTAGGACCTGCATCGGTCTCGATGATGAAAGGACGGCTTTCAGCATTATCAAAGCAAGGAACTCCCAGAATCAGGTCGCCTTCTCGAAACTCAGCTTTAATATCCTCAACGGCTGTCTGCTGTTTCGGTTCCCACTCCCAGACCTGGTTCTTGCGTACTAACTTCCGCAAGTGTTCCACCCTCGCTGCGAACCTGCGGATAAAAACCCGTCAAAATCCGCATGTTCCGAGGAAGCTCCGAACGTCGGTAATAGATATGAAGGGAATCGGCCACTCCAAGATCTTATTCGTCTTCTAGGCATCTGGCCGACGACCTTTCTCATCACAAAGGAAACCCAGTATTACTGCCTCCCTCATACCATGCCTCGATTTAACCCCGCTAGCAGTGAGGTTATATTCGTTCAGTTTCCTCAGAAACTTCTTCACATTACTGATGTGTTCTCATACGAACTTTTGAACGCCGGGTAACTCTTCAGTCTCGTCCTTGACTCGAGGTCCTGGGATAGCCAAATCATCGATATATGGAGAAGTCACGTCCGGACAAAGCGGCTGCATGACTCTCATCATATATCTCTGCACAATTGCCACGGCATTCGTCCAACCCTGTGGAGCCGCGCATATATGAAGCAGTCCCCGAGGCGTGTGCATCGCTGTCATAGGTCGATCCGCTGTGTACAGCGGGAACTGATCATACCCTGAATACAAATCAATTAAGGTGGTGATGGGCCGGCCTGCACAAGATTCCGAGAGTTGGTCGGCGTTCAGAAGTCCACCTGCATCTCGGACTGTTACAGAATTCAATTTCTGCAGGTCCTGAACCCATCGTAAAACACCGTTCGGCTTGATGAAGCAGAACCAAGGGGATGCATACAGCCCATACGAATAGTCTGCCACTTTGGTCTGAATCTTACCATCAAGATAATCCACCACCTTCCGGTGATCGTCTGGATTCGGATATCGTGGACCTCTCACATTCCATGGCTCATGCGGTACCGTATGAATCCGGATCATTGGAATCATATCGACGTCCAACCTTCCACGCTCATCATCATCAAAAGCATAAGCCAGATGATTTTTCCTCATTACGTCGATAAAGAATTGGGTTTCCTCCTTGGTGAGGAGGTCATCCTCTCCAATGATCATTTATTTGATCCTATCTTCTGTCAACCGACACGGTCCCCTCTCACCTTTCTCCTTCAATGTTCTGATCCACTCACGTTCTTCCTTATAATACACTTCCTTTTCCTGAGTGATCAGAACTGGCACTGGTCGCGCTTTTTCCCCTACTTTCTTATACTTCCTCTTGGAGCGAACGCCGAGCTTCCGTCCCCTAAAAAAGACTCTTATTTGGCTGATGGCAGTGATTCCTCCATACGAGATTCATTTGGCCGATAAACAAGATGCATGGTTCCTGCACCTTCCTTGTCAACCAAAGCCTCCATCAGGGTTTGTACCAGGCTCGGATCAATTGTAGGATGGCTTGCTGCAAAATCGACTGCCTGCGAGATACTAGGCAATGTCAACGAAAATTCCTGAGGATCCTTTTCTTCATCGATCGCCTCTTTCTCCCTCCTCAACTTCTCAGATTCTAAAAAGGTATATGATTTGGGATTCAACCGGCTCCTTGAATTTGCTGGTCCGGTATTTGAGCACTTTACCACTTCATAATAGCCGCAAACCGGATCGCATAAAGCTACAAACATGGTGCCGTCATGCTTGTTGAAGATTATGCTCTCTGTGCGACATTGAAAAGAACTTCCCAAAAGCACTTCGTGCTCAACCTTTGGCAATATATAAAAATATGATCTCGCTTTTACCTTCCCAACTGTGACCATTACGCCACTAGCCGTACCGCAAAATGGCGTTGCCCCGCTGACTCCAATCAAAAATTCAAAGTCATTGCGATTGATCTGAATTTCAGCTTCAATCGCATGCCTCTCCCTCATGATGTTCATTTCGGCCCCATCGTCTATGAGAGTCGAGAACTCTCCACGGCCGATTTGAACTTTTATGAGGTCTGTGGTCACGCATCGCCAGTCCATCTTTGTGCCAGAAGGTGCCCAGTTAGCTTATGGAGGGATAATCTCATTCAGCTAAACTGTCATGACTTTCTTCCGAGTCATGTGTTGCTTGAATTCCTCGCGAAGCTTTGGCGATACTGCAAGAATCTCCTTCAAGGTAACCAGATCACGCTGACTTTCCAGAATACGATCCACCAGCTGTTCAAAATCAATCCCTTGTTCAACAGGAATTGAGTACACGTTCTTCTTTTTGCGAGGTTTTTATTCCTCGACCTGGGTCTTCCCTGCTTGCGACGCCCTTTCCATAGCTCTTTGCTTTGCTAGCAGTTCATTCTCTGCTCGCAATCTTTCATCCTCCTCATCATCATCCCCTTCTTCTATCTGAATAGGTTCTTTTTCCTGAGGTTTCTTTGAACTTTCTCATGGCGCAGGCTGCGATTGTGAGGTCTTCCTTCCTTTTCTCATCTGCACCATGACGGTTGGCATCCCTCGCTTGAGTACAAGTCTGGACATCGCCATTGGCCGTGTCATTGGCATTGCTTCCTGCGCCGAAGTGGCCTCAGGTGCAGACCCATCCTGACCTTCGTTTCCCCATCCACCAAAAAGGAACACATTAGGAAGGTTCGACCAGACTCTATCCATGTCAACACATAATTGAACAATGAAATCTCGACATTTGCCCAGTTTCTTGGTTACCTCTCGCGCCCGATGAGCAATGTCTTATTTCCTTTCCTTCAACTCTTTTTCGTCACACCCACCAATCTCCAGAGAAGCCATTGTTTCTTCTAACTCAAAAAGACTTGCTTCTTCAGGAGAAGCTAGGCGAAACATGGCCGGAAGAGGACGGTCCATCCGTCGAAAAGCCTTTTTTCTCATTCCTCCTTCAATATCTTGATCGATGAGATTTCCCTCGAAGTCAAAGACTTCTCCTCGAATCGTCGTGAAGACGATATGGTTCTTCTTGTCCTTGGCGAGAATCTGGCAGAAACGAATAACATGTCCCTTCATATCGCAATATTTGCAGACGTATTTCTGCCAGTTCCCACGTCCGCCTCCATTTCCGTGGTCTCTACCACGGCCTCGACCACCCTGTGGTTGCGTCTGTTGACCTTGATTTTGTTGTCCTCGGTCAACCTGTCGCTCCCCGCTTCCATTTCCTCCGTTCATGCTGCTTTTTCCTTGTTTACGAGAAGTACCTTGCCCTCCTCGTACCTGGTTCATGGCTTTCCTCTCAGCCTTGGTCAACTTACGAGGGGGTTCTCTTTTCTCCTCGCTCTCACTCTCACTGCTACTCTCTTTTGTGACAGGCTCCTTCCCTTTTCTCTTCCCAGTTTTTGCCTTGGCCATCATCACTTGAAGTTTTAACCGTTCCTCCTTCATACTGCTCATCATTTCCCTCATGTCAGATAAGGTCTTATAGACCTCCTTATCCTTGTCCGTCCCCAACTGTAACCTCTCCCGATTTTCCTTCTGCTGTTTCAGCAGCCGATAGAGGATCTGGTCGAAGTCCCCGGCCAATAAATTCTCTCGAATTTTTGGCCAATCATACCTTTCTTTCATGCCTTTCACCAACTTTAGCTGTTCCACCTCCATGAAATTATCTAAGAAGATGAGGCAACGATCTTTATCTGGAAGGTCATGAACTAATTTCGCCACCCGCTCGAATTCAGTAAGGAACTGCTTTGTTGTACTAAAGCGTTTCCGACTAACCTTCCTCAAATCGGTCAAGTCCAACAGTTGATCGCTCAAGTGGTACTTTTCTAGCAGCTTCCTCTTGAATTCTGCCCAGTCCAGCGAATCTTATACCAACTCCTCCACCTCTTCCTTGTACTGGATCTTGCAGTATCTCTTCACCATTTGCAATATCTTTTCATTCGACCATTCGCAGCAACTTCCCAATTGCTCGAACTTTTCTGCCCATCCCGATGCGTTGTTACCATCAAACAATGGAACGTCAATCTTCGGGATTTGATCCTTCTGGGAATGTTGAATACTCATGGCAAGCTCTCGAATGTCATTTGTCCTCTGGTCCTGATTGTCATCGTTATTAGCCATCTTGAGTGAAGAAAAACAACAGCATATTAACAGAAATCAGTTAATCCTTCTGCATAAATAATATCTCATAATTTAGGGATCAAATTACTGACTTTTTCTGAGGTCAAACAAGGAGAAGAAAATAATTTTTTTATTCCATTAATCACCCAAGTGTCGTTCCGCTAGGGACAACGGTAGTTTGCCGCTATCCCCGGCAACGGCGTCACCTGTTGCGCGCATCGGCCCTCGCATGAAAACGAGGGCCCTCCTGGCCATGTCACGCAGGAGTTTACCTAAAAACACATCTTTCAGAGACAACTCGGGAACGACGCATACTATTCCGTGAACCGCCGAGACGGACACGGTTGCTTCGCTCCTTCGCCGCTCTAGCCGGGTGCGCCAGCTATACATCCCACGGCCCCCTACGACAGGACAGGTTCCCGCGGGGCATAAGCTTGCATCCCTAAGGGGCTGTCACCACCCTTAGGGGCGTATCCCTACCGAGCTACTGATCCACGTGCGAAG